GGCTCCCGATTGGCAACCGGGCCGAACTACGAAGAGGGGGCCGAGGACGCCGCTCGCGGGACCAGCGAGGTCACGTGCTCGCCAAAAGGGGCGGGGCCTCGGGGAGACCCGAGCGGACCCGAGCGGAGCCGAACGGGAGCGAGCTCGGAGGTCAATGAAAACTCCCAGCAGCTCCTGCGAGGTGCGGTCGGGGCGCAATGGCGGCTCTTGGCCCGTTGCATGCTGGGGAGCGTAGTTCCCAGCCCGCGCGGCAGTCCCGTTGCTCCCTGCCCCGGGTTGGTCTACCGATGCTTCGCCGCAGGCTCTGCACCCCACCGCCTGAGCGGGTGGAGGCTGGAGGGGGCCAGGCTGAGCCCCGCCTTGCAGTCCTGCGGGCCCCTCCCTTCCGCACGGGTCTCCACGCCCCGAGTCTATGTTTGATAAGGAGGGAGGGAACCGAATGACCCCTGGACTGGGCGCTGCCCTCCCAACCCCAGGCCCAGGGCCCAAGAGCTAAGGCTCCTCTCGGGCGAGACCCTGCGGCTCAGCTGGCCCTGCACGAAGGCGGGGGCGGGGGCCTTCGCTCACCGCCCTTCCAGCTCGGCCGGCATTTCCTGCGAACCCCCTCCTTCTCGCCCAGCCTTGCCTCCCCGGTGGGGAGCTCCTAGCAACGCCATCGCTGTGGTCGTGGCTCACACACACGGTGCGTGCGGGCCAGGCAACTTCCCAGTGCGTTATCTGTATTATTGTTCCTTTTTTCTCTTTAAAGGCTGACTCAAGCGTTGAGGGTGATCTTTACGATGTGGGGGCCGTCTTCAGCTGTGACCGGGAGCGAAAGGAAAAGCATCATTTGGCCACGTCCTCCCCATTCGTGCAGGTCTGCTCGCCCAGGCCCTGGAGCAGCAGGAGGGGAGGGGAGGGCCTTGCGCTGTGCAAGGGGAGGTTCGAGTTAGCCAGCGGTTCTCAACCTGTGGGTCGCGACCCCTTTGGCGGTCGAACGACCCTTTCACAGGGGTCGCCTAAGACCATCCTGCATATCAGATATTTACATGACGATTCATAACAGCAGCAACATTACAGTGATGAAGTAGCAACGAAAATAATTTTATGGTTGGGTCACAACATGAGGAATTGTGTTTAAAGGGCCAGAAGGTTGAGAACCACTGAGTTAGTCGATTCTGCTTTGGGGCGGGTCAGGGTCAGTTTGCTCTTTCATCCGGTGTCTACCGAGAGCCTCCCCCTGTGCTAGACCCAGGCAGCCTGGACCTTTGGGAAATGCTGGAGGAACCCCTCGCGCCCCTGCCCACACCCCTGAGCTGCCCAGATCGCTGTGCTCGGACACCCGGACTGACACATTCCCCGTTACCGTCTACCTCCCAGGTGCCACCGGGTGGGTTCACCCCAATGACTGTAAACCCAAAAGGGTAGGGACCCTGCCTCTCCTTTTCTCGACTGCAGTGCCACCCCAGGGCCTGCCTGGGCCAGGGGGCCCCGCAGGACTCGGAGACTGAATGCTTGCTGCAAAGAAAAGGTGGAGTGCCCTGAGAGTGTTTAAGAGGGGAAGCGATCTGACCTGGAATGTCAGGAATTCCTGAGGAAGCGTCGGGGTTAAACCCTGGGCGGGGCGGGGGGGGGGGGGAGACTGTTGAGGCTCGGAGTCTAGGAGCCCCCAGTGTGTGGCAGAAAGCCCGGCGGAGGGGAGGAGCGTGGGCAGGGCCCAGACTCCCCAGGGCCTGGCAGACCACACCCTGGAACTGGAACTTTCTCAAGGGCACTGGGAACCGTGGCAAGGCTGGTATTTACATTTTGAAAGATAACCCTGACTCCAGAGTGGAGAGCAGCAACGGGTAGAGCTGGGGGGTCCCTTTGGAGGGCATCCCATGGTCCTGCCGTGAACGAGGGAGGGTGGTGCAGGGGAGAAAAGGAGGCCTCAGGTCCCAGCTGTGGGGGCGAGAGAGCGGGACTCCTCTGTGCTTCTCAGTGAGGTACCGGCCTGCCTCCCCGCCGGGCCTCGGCCACAAAAAACGAAACGCGGCTGTCACCTGCATTACGCTCTGCAGTGCCCTGTATCTTTTGTTTGGAGAAGGGATTCCTCTCGTTAAAAATAAACAAGTAAATAACATACCTACAGACAGTGGAACCTCATTTCTCAAACATAATTCGAGAAGCGATTTGTTCGAAAACAGAATCCCTTTTCCCATTAGAAATCATGTCAATTGAATTAATGACCCCCAGGTGATGCCCTGCTTTGACCTTTCTCATATGCAGTACATGGCTAATGTGCTGTTTGATTCACAAATAAACGTTGCTTAGATTTACCAAACCGCCCCTCCTAGCCTTAAAGGAATTATCGCTGCCTCTGAGATGGGATCACCGCTAACTGCTTTTCCTTTATCCAATCAATTTTTCTACCTCGTCAATACCCCGTGATTGCTGTTTTGTGAACACTTTCACATCCTTAGCGACATGAGCACTCTTGATGGCCTCTTGGTGGTTTAAAATCGTCAGCAACAAAAGCACTCTCTCCTCGGATTGTTGCTGAGGTATCAGCCTGAGAGGGTTGCCAGATGGAAAACTGAAGTTTTGGTCGACAACCGAGACATTTTTCTGTGAAGACGACAGAACCGAATTGTTCGAGATGGCAGATGGCCTTGAGCCGAGGTTTGACTGTAAACTTCCCCTCTCCTTTCGGGCCGGTAGTTCATTTTATTCCTATTTCTGTTAATCCTCACCTCAGGATACGTCCATTGACTTTCAGAGTGAGTGGAAGGGAGGGGGAGAGACACACAGAGAGAAACATTGATGTGAGAGACACAGTATTTGGTTGCCTCCTGCACTCTCCCCGACTAGGCCCGGAGGTCGAGGTGCGTGCCCTTGACAGGAATCGAACCCAGGACCCTTCAGTCCTCGGGCTGACACTCTATCCCCTGAGCCAAACCGGCTAGGGCCTGGGCGGGTCGTTTAATACTGGACTCAGCATCCCTGCTCTTGCAGGCATTCATTCAACAAATGCTTCTTCGTTG